CCCTCGGCCCCAGTGCTCCGTCGCCCTGGCCCGCGGAGAAGGAGGGATGGCTGCGGCTCCCGGCGATGTTGAAAACCGGCGGCTCCTGCACCAAGCGGCCGCGGGTCCTGGCATCGCTGCCCGAACGACGCGTCCTGCGCCAGACATGTTGTCTGAGTCCCTGTCTTTACCTCCGCCGCCTTCCTGCCTGCCGTGGCCTGCCCGCTCGATGCTGTCGCTGCCCGGAGACCGGGGCTGGCTGCTCTCGGCCACCTTGGGCTCTCCGCACACCCGGATGGGTCACTCTGGCTGCTCTGCTGTTTGCACAGAATGGTGCTGAAGAAGCACGGGTGGTTTTGCACCATGTCCTCCTTCGGTGACCATCCCTGACATGTCCCACGTGTGTGACCTGCATGACTGGGCAGCCCGGGCTGCTTCCTGTCTTGCTGCCTAGAACAGGTGTCGGGGTCGGAGACACAGCAGGGACGAGATTTCACTCAAGGGACCCACCATGTGTGCGGCAGCCAGTGGCACTGGAGGCCAGAAACTCGTGAAGGACAGCCAGGGCAGGGTGGCCTGCGGAGCTGCCCAGCTGGGCAGAGGGATGCAGTGGACAGAGGGACTAGGAACTAAGCAGGCAGAGGAGCACACAGAGGTCTGTCCTTATCCAAGTTTCCCCCAGCTTCTCCAGCCTTTCTCCCTTGGCAGGGCAGAGAGGGAGGGTGAGCTGGTTGCCTGCCAGTGCCTGTGTTTGGGAGCAGCAGCTCAGAGTTCTCCCAGTGCGGGAGCCGCTGCTGTGTAACCGTCAGAGCAACGTGATGCGATGTGCAGAGTGGTGATGTGACAGTCCCGTGGTGCCATGTCCAAAATAGTTAGCACAGCTCTAGCTCCTTGGAGGGCTCTGAGCAGGGTCAGGCAGCCCCACAGGCAGCCTGCCGGGAGTGGAGCTGGATCCTGCACAACACCAGCCCTGGTAGGTGCCGCCTCTGTGTTGTGAGGCACAGGACCTGTTTTTTGGGGTACTGACCTGCTCCCCAAGGGGCTGGATGCTGGCAGGTGCACAGCCCCGTGCTCTGCCTTCCAGCCAGGTTTCTGTTTCCCAGCGTGATGCTAGCAGACAGGTTTTTGGGAGCATGGCTGGGTTGGCTGCCTTGGGCATTGGTGGCGCCACATGGGTCGCCCCAAGGACGAGGGCACCTCCTGTCATCACTGCCAGTGTGCCAGATGGATGGTGGGCAGGTGTTCCGGCCCCTGCCCTCGGGCTGTTTGGGGTTGCACTGTAACCACAGTCACAGTTTGCTGCGGGGGTGCTGCGGTCAGCATCAACTCCAGCTCTTTCTTACAGATGTGTTTTAAACCCTGGAAACCCCCTGGCTCTGGGCTTGGTCTCAAGATCGCAAGTTCCCCTTGTTGCTCTCCAGCTTGGTACATCACTGCTGGCTCGGCAGTGGCGCAGGAGCTTGGTGATCTCTGCCCTTGCCCAGGGGCTGGTGCAGTTCCCCCATGACTGCCCCCCATACCCTATCCTGGAGCCTTGGCAGGACACAAAGTCCTGGGAAAGGGGCCAAATATGCCTCTTTCTCCTGCCTGGCACCTGGTTGTGCCCTCCCAGCAGCCCTGCTGCCTGCCCCCTCCTGCCCTGCTCCAGCCTGTCCCTGGAGGCCTGTCCCTGAAGCAGGCTGTGGTGGGTACTGTAGGCTGAAGCCCAGGCAGCTGCCAGCTGTGTTTCACTGGCTCCAAGCTGGCGGGGAGAGGAGCCAGCCATGGGTGACAGTGCCCATGTGCCTAGGGACAGGCTGCAAGTTGCTGTCCTTGTTGGGGGCAGGGTGTCATTGCCGATGGCGGCTGCCCAAGGCAGGGGCTGCTGGCATTGCCCATGTCTCCTTGCCCAGGCATGTGAGCCAGCACTGAGGTTGTGTGTCAGTGCTGTGCCTGCAGATACATAGTGGGGACGTATTGGGAATGCGGTGTGGACGTTCCAGGGATGTGTTAGGAGCATGTGCTCACTGTCCCTGTCATCCAGGTGTGAGGGTTGCTGCAGCGCAGGGGAATCCCAGGAGCTGGGTGGGACAGGGCAGGGCTCGGCCCCAAGGCATGTCTGAGTGTTGAGGCAGGGGTGGGATCAGGGGCAGCACGGGCTTGGAGCACCCCTAGGGCTTGGAGCATCCCAGTGCATCCCACAGTGCTCTGGTGGTCTCAGGTAGATCACACGGAGTGATCCCTGCTCTGTGGCCATGGCTGTCATCCTGCTCTGCACGAGGACCTGCTGGCAACAAGAGACCCAGAGACCTGTCCCCATGGGGCTGCAGGGGAGGCAGCTGGGAACAGCTGCACCAGGGAGGGCCTGAGGGTGTATTGCTCACATGGATGTCCCCACAGGCTGCAGGGAGCAGCCCTGCAGGGCCAGCAGTGACTCTTTGGGCTGGCCTCAGGGTCTTGTCCTTGGCACAGCAGGGACTGGTGCAATGCCTAGTGTGTCTGGGCACTGTGATGTCAGCACCTTTGTCTGGCTTTCCACTGCTCACCAATGACATCCACTGCATCATCAGCCCTGCTGTCCTGCCCCCCTGGGGTAGGGGCAGGTCCCAGTTGATGCCCCCGGCCCCGCTGGGCACTGCACACGGAGCAGCCTGTGCCCCCCCCCCCCTCTGTTCTTACAGGCAGTGCCCTGCAGGGACAGTTAATGAGGGCCGCTGGTCCAAGCAGCGCCCGCGGGCCTCAATGTGCTCTCGCTTCACGGCACCGGGATCTGCCTCTGCCTGCCTGAGCATCCCTGGCCATGTGCTGGCCAAGGAATCACGCTGCACTGGGCACCACCGGGCTGGAGGTGCCACTGGTGCTTGGTGGCATGGGCACCAGTGCCAAAGGAACCCGTAGGACGAGCAGGATGGGCTGGATGACGCCGCATCTAGGGCAGCACCTCAGTCTGTGCTGGGCACAGCGCAGTCCCGGTGGCAGCAGAGGGGCCGGTGCCATGCAGGCTTGCCTGGGCTGGGTGCTGCAGGGCAGCCATGCCTGCGTGTCTGGGGGGACGGGAGCTAATCCATGTGGAATGGCCTGGCCGGGGGAGAGGGGACTCCCGCACCGCCTGGGCGCAGGCAGCGTTGGGTTTCAGGGCAGCTGCCGTGCTGGAGCAGCGACAGGGACAGATGGCGGCAGGGCTGGCTCTGCCCCACCTTAGGGGTCTTGGCTGGGCCTGGAGGTCTTGGCCGTGCCCACAGCCCTACCCTAGCCACAGGTGCTGTTGTCTTTCTGGACAGTGGGGCAGGGCAGATCCTGCCAAGGGCTCTGTGCCTGACTGTGTGGGGTGGCAGGAGGCACCCACTGTTCCCTGCCAGTGCTTCCCACACATCCAGGGCTCTCTGAGGTATTTCCATCTGCTCAGGGGTTCAGCCGGGCCTTGATTCTTTCACTTGGCCCTGTGGGTAGCACTTGGCTGTGCCACCACGGTGGTCCCAGCTGGGACACACATGGTGACACTGCAGGTGCTATCCTGGGATCTGGCACCTGGGGTTCCAAGCCTTGCTGTCTGTGGTTGCCCATCTGAGGCAGGGCTGGGGGAACGGAGCAGGGGACCCCCCCAGTCCCAGCCCCTCATCAGACCGATGGCCGCCTCACAGGGTGCAGCGCTGGGGACATGGGATGTGCAGGATCGGGGCCAGGGGATGGGCCGGCTTCCTGCAACAGAAAATACCCGGAAAGCCTGCGGGGGGGCCAGGGCTGGCTGTGTCCCCACAGAGTCCAGGGTGGGGAAAACTTGTTGGCACAGCCCTGGCCTGGGGGGCTGCAGCAGCATCCCCAGCCCCTCTCAGGAGACCAAGGGACCTGGGTGTGCCCATGCTGTCAGTGCAGGGGGCTGGAAGTGCCTCTTTGGGTAGCCTGGGCTGACCCTGGCTCGGAGCGCTCCAGCATGGGGTGGATGAGAATGCGAGGGGCGCGTGAGGAGCTGTGGGGTGGGTGAGCAGCCATGGAGTGGGTGAGGAGTGGCGCCGGCTGTGTTTGCAGAGCCCACACTTTGCCCCTTGCTGATGGTTGTGGAGAGCTCTGCAAACATGGCTGAGCTGGCGTGTGACATCAGCTGGTGGTGTGTGCTTGTCACCAGGGTTCTGCCATCCCCCCCTGGAGCGGGGACCCACCCTGCAGTGATGCCCATGGAGATGGAGCTGTGCGTCCTGGGTTGGATCTGGCATCATTCTGGCCAGAAGTGATGGTGCTGCCACTGTGTGGGGGTTGGAATTGGGATCCTGGAAAGTACTGAAGGGTTTGTTTGTAAAGGGCTGATAATGGGGGCCAGGGGAGTCACCACTGTGGTCACTGAGGACACTTTCCACACCTACACAGGGCATTGCCACGCACTGGCACCATGGTGGGGTGTGCTCAGGGCTCCCTCGGGGTGCCTGGAGGCCATCCAGAAGGGGGAGATCCCCGAGGCTGCCCCATGGCTGGCCCCAGGCAGGGAGGGGGCTCTGTCTGGCAGCCTCGTGTGCATTCCTGGGCCATGAGTTCATGGCTGCGGGTCCATGGCGCGATGGGGGCCATGGGCTGTCACAGTGACGTCAGGCCACGGCCCGCACCCATCCTGCCTCCAACTGCACTGTGGAAGCACTTGAATGCCTTGTCCCCTTGGGGAGAGTGGCAGGGGAGTCTGTGGATCCCTGTGCCCATGGAGGGTCTCTGGCCCCGTGTCCCCCCATGGCAGGGCCAGGCAGCAGCTGCCAGGGGATGAAGGGCAGCTTTGTGGTGGCAGTGCCTGGTGGAGCCCGGCTGTCCCTCTGTGCATTGTGTGCCCAGCGCCTGGCACTCGCTGTGGGTGCCTCTCAGGATTGGGGCAGCAGCAGCAGAGCTCAGGTGGGGTCACAGTGCCCTCCCCAGCCTTGCTCCTGAGGGCTGTGTTTGGGGGGACAGGACTGTGCCCCCCAAGGGCTGTGTTTGGAGAGGATGCATCTTCCACAAGCTTCCACAACTGAGTGACCTTGTGTTCTGCTCTACCCCTCTTGCAGGGAAGCCACCATCCCCGATGGGAGACAGCATCCCCCCGCTCTCTGTGCCACCCCCTTCGCCTGGAGATGCAGTGCAAGGAGAGCGCAGCCCCTGCCCACACAACCGACCTGGCCCTCCAGATGTCATCCCCTCGGAAAAGACCGTTCCACCTGTCCCTGCAGCCATCACCCCCTCTGAAAACATTGTCTCGTCTGTCCCTGCAGCCATGCCCCCCTCCTGGCAGCCCGTGATGCCCCCCGCTGCAAGCAGCCCCCCGCAACATGACCGACCTGGCCCTCCAGCCGTGGCACTGCCAGGACAGCCCGTGTCTCCCAGCCCTACGACTCTGGTCCCCTCAGCACAGAGTGTTCCCCCCAGGTGCGACCGGTCCCCCTGCCCCAAGCCACCTGGGATGGAGCGCCCCAAAGAAGAGGCATTGCCCCACACCGCTGGCCAGCCTGCCCCCATCCTTGCTGCTGCCCCTTGCTCTGCGGAGACGCTGCCCCGTGGGAGCCAGCTCCCAGCCCCAGCTGCCACTGAAGGGGCTCCTCCTGATGCCAAGAGCTCCCTGGGTGCCACAGCCGGGCCCTCAAAGGATGTGACCCCCCGGAGCAGCCGCCCCTCACCGTCTCCTGCCACCAGCCCCCGGCCCAAGCAAGGTGGGTGCCAGGAGGTTGCAGTGCTCCAGTGATGCTCCACACTATGGGCACCAGTCGATGCCTGGTGGGGCCAGGCACTACCCTGACAGTGTTTCCCCTCTGCAGATGCCCAGAAAGCCCAGGCAAGGCACAAGCAGGCAAAGGAGCGGCGTGAGGAACGGGCCAAGTACCTGGGTATGGGGCTGGGAGGGAAAGTGGATGGGAGGAGGCAGGGGCTAAGGAGCTTTGCCGGGTAATGACCAATCCCATTAGCTGTGGTGAGCTGAGCCCAGCCAGGAGCTGAGGTGCTGGCAGCTCTGCCCACCAGGCACACCACTGATTCCCCAGCACACCGCTGACCCCTGGGCACACTGCTGACCCCCAGGCATGGTGCTGATCCCACAGCACATTGTTGCTCCCTGTTTTGGATGCTTGCCGGCTCTGTGCAGGTGCCAGCAGCCCCGGTGCCCGGCTCTGCCGTGTCAGGCAGCCCCAGAGGGGCTCGGGGCAGTGGGCGAGCGGGGCCCCTGCGCTGCGCATGGGGCCTCCTTGTCCCCGCGCTCTTTCCACCCTCATTCCCCCATTGTTCGCCGCGCGGCTCGGCGGGCTCCCGGCGGGCTCCCGGCCTTCCTTTTGTCCTGGCCCAAACCCCTCCCTCGGCAGCCGTGATGCTGCCTGCCCCGCGAGCCCGGCCGCGTGCCCCGGCCGCAGCCGCTCTGTGGCCCCACGCCACTGGCATGGGCACGCGGTCCCACCAGGGGGCTGGCCAGGGCTGTGCCTCTGGTGCGACCCCGCTGTCCCCCACAGCTGCCAAGCGGGTGCTGTGGCTGGAGAAGGAGGAGAAGGCCCGGCTGCTGCGGGAGAAGCAGCTGGAGGAGCGGCGCAAGCGGCTGGAGGAGCAGCGGCTGCGGGCAGAGAAGCGCCGGGCAGTCCTGGAGGAGCGGCAGAGGCAGAAGCTGGAGAAGAATAAGGTGGGGATGGGAATGGGTATCATGAGTGCAGTGAACATGGGGCTGAGGTGGCATATGGGATACAATCCCTGAGGAGTTCTTGTGGCTCCAGCAGCCCTTCAGAAGATGCTTCGGGAGCCCTTCGGGAGCTGCCCACTGTGCCCGTTCTCTGCTGCCCCTCCTTCATGGTGCACAGCCTGTGCTGTGCCCAGCTTTTTTGGCTGTGTGCCTTGGCCAGGGCAGGCATCACTGTCCTGTCTCCCTCCAAGCACCCCCATCGCTGTGATGGCCTCATGCTGGGAGGCTCTGGCTGGCCCCAGCCCCACTCCTGCAGCCGCTGGGCTCAGCCTGTCCCTCTCCCTTGGGCAGGAGCGCTATGAGGCAGCAATCCAGCGGTCGGTCAAGAAGACGTGGGCAGAGATCCGGCAGCAGCGGTGGTCCTGGGCTGGGGCCCTGCACCATGGCTCCCCTGCACACAAGGACGGTGAGTGCCAGGCTGGGCACAGGCACCTCGGGACCCTGTGGCTCTGACAGTGGTGAGGGTAGCTGGCCATCTTGCTGGCAACCCTCAAGCCCAGCTCAGGCCCACTTGGTGGGGTCATGCTGCCATCACTCTGGGCTGTGCTGGGGACTGATGGGGTCCCGTGGCTGTTCCCTGCTCCTGTGGGGCTGGGTGTAAGCTGGAGGCTGTGCATCACAGTCACTGTTCCACTCAGAGTCCTGCCTGGGGGCAGACCTGGCTGCCTCAGCATGCCATGGCCACACTGCCAGGTCTCCAGCAGCCTGAAGAGTCTCTGGCCCCAGGGGCTGTGGAGCTGCACAAAGCCTCTGCGAGCTCTGGTTGGGGTCTGTGCTGTGGTGTCTCCCCTTATCCCGCAGCTGGGTGGGGGCAGTGCTTGGCAGGTCCAGTATGGAGGTGACTGTGGCTATATGTGTGGCTGCAGAAGCTGGTCCTGCTCCTTGGGGGCTTCTTGAGGAACGATTAGGAACGATTCAGCACTTGGACATGTGGAGGTCTCCACTGTCCCCTGACTGCTGTGCTGTGCTGGCAGGTGCTAGCACTGTCTGGCATGGATGGTGACATGGAGGAGAGCGCTGTGTCCCTGGGAACTGGTCTTCACGTGCCATGGGGCAGCTGTGGTGGCCGTAGCTGTACCTGGCCAGGCTGTGTAGAGGTGTTGTGTTTCTGGCTGTACCTGACCAGGCTGTGTACAGGTGTTGTGTGCCAGGTTGTGTGTACTGGCACTGTGTGCCCAGCGCCGCGTGTGTTCAAGTGTTGTGTGCCCAGCAGTTCCTGGCTGGGCTGTGTGTACTGGCTCCATGTTCTGGGTACACCTATCTCGGTGCCGTGCGTGCCACTGTGGCTCATGGCTCTCTCGGGGTGTCTGTGGTGCAGCACCTGGCAGGGTCTTGCAAGGGGACACCTTCCCCTGTTGCTTCCCATTGGGATGTCCTGCTGGAGCTGCTGCCATCTGTCACTCACCAATCTCCCCCCTGCACTGGCCCTGAGCTTCTCTGGCTGTTTTGTCCAGAGGAGCCTGGGGTGGGGAGATCCCAGCTACCTGTGGAGGTGCTGCCAGCCACCAGCACTATCCTGGCGATGCCAAAGTGACCCTGCACTGGTGTGATGTTGTCTTGTGTCTGTCTGGACCTGCTGCCCTTCCCCAGGGTGGATGCTGGCCTGATGCTGCCGAGGTTCCCAGCCACCTGCTCCTGATTCCCAGGACTGTGTTTGGAAAGGCTGTTGTAGCGTGGCCTGGGAGCCACCCTGGCACTCTGAGGATGAGATCCCTGCATGATCCCAGCATGACCCTGCAGGGTTCAGACACTGCCATACTGAATGCCAGTGCTGCGTGTCGTGTCCCCAGACAATGGTAGCTCCTCTAGCCCCACTCTGTGCCGTATCACTGGATTCCAGCATCTCCTGTCCCACTCTGTATCGTGTCCCCAGACTCCAGCATCTCCTGTCCCACTCTGTATCGTGTCCCCAGACTCCAGCATCTCTTGTCACATTCTGTGTTGCATCCCTGGATTCCAGCATCTCCTACCCCATTCTGTGCCGTGTCCCCGGACTCCAGCATCTCCACTGATCCTTCCACTTCTGCCCCAGTGCCCTGGCACAGCCGTGCATGCTGCATGTGGGGGGCCTGGCCCCGGCCCCGGGACCTTAATGCCCTTGTGTCTTTTCCCTCCTCCAGGTGCGAGCCGGTGCTCGGTGTCCGCTGTAAACCTCCCCAAACACGTCGACTCTATAATCAACAAGCGGCTCTCCAAATCCTCCGCCACCCTCTGGAACTCTCCCAGTAGAAGTAAGAGCCCTTTGCGTTTGCCCCAGCGCAGGGGGCACAGCCCAGCCCCCACCCAGCGCTGGGGACCCCCTATGCCAGGGTCCACCATTCCCAGGTGCCCGTGGAGAGAGGAGAAGCCGTTTGCTGTTTGCGGGAGGAGGCTGGAACCGGCTGGTGGCTCTTGAGGCTGTGTGGGCTGGGAGGAGAAGGAAGAGGAGGAGGAGGAGGAGGAGGAATGGCTGGGTGGTGGCAGCCCCATGGGGCGCCAGGATGAGGATGGGAGCCTGGCTCCCTGCCCCAGGGCAGTTCTGGTGGGTGCTGGTGCAGCCACAGAGGGGCTGCCTGTCGCTGGCTCTCCTGGGGCTGGGCAAGATGCCAGTGTCCCCACAGGCTCCTGGGACTGGGTGCCATGGAGCTCTGTGACCGTGCTGCTGCAAGGTCATCCTGGCCCAGGGAGCGCTGCCCAGGGCTGCAGCCATGCCGGAGGGATGTGTCCAACCAACAGTGGGTTGTGTCCAGTGCCGGGGCTGCCCGGATGGGTATAAATAGCCAGAGCAGCTGACGCCGGTGGCTGTGGTGACGCAGGCAGCTCCCACCACCCTGTTCTGGGGCTCAGCCCACGGACAGGCACCTAGGGGCTGTCAGCACTGCCGGGGTGGGAGCAGCATCTCTCTGGGCTCGTGCCAGACCTGCCACCCTGTCCCCCTGCAGCACCCATGGCTCTGTGCTCTCTTTTCCTGGCAGCCGGTGCTGCCCCTGGCCTGACATCCAGGGATGGGATAGGATGCCCCTCTGGAGAGGGGCAGAGGGGCCCTGTCTCTGTGGGTGTTTCCCATGCGCCGTGGGGTGTTTAGTGATGTGCTGCAGGGAAGCCAGCAGCAGCTTGGTGCCCAGCTGAGCCAACTGTGTGGCCAGGCATCACCGTTCTGTGGGTGCTGTGAGGCTGGCCTGGCTCCTGGGACATGCTTGGTGATTCAGCACAGCTCCTGTGGGATTAGGGCACGCTGTGGTGTCCCCTGGGCAGCTGGCACGTGCCAGCGCCTTGGTCACACAGGACAGGGCCACAGAAGGGTGCCATTGCTGGGCACAAAGAGAGGGCAGAGTGGGGAGGATGCTGCTACCAGGGTGGCACCCAGCACCACTGGTACACGGTACCTGCGGTGTCCACAGGACACAAGGACACCATTGTCATCATGCCACAGCGCCGTCCACAGGTGCCCAGCCACCCACCCATGCCTGGGCCTGCATGGCCCTTCATCCTGCTCAGCTGTGTGGGGCCCTGGGGACCCCTCCCCAGCACAGCCAAGCTCTGGGCGCTCCTGGAGCTGTGCATGTGCCATGGTATTGCTGCAGACACATGGCTGCTCCTCCCAGCAGTGACTGTGCGGACAGGACTGGGGTCTGGAGGATTGTGGTACACTAATGGCCCCTCTCCCTCCCCAGACCGGAGCTTGCAGCTGAGCCCATGGGAGAGCAGCATCGTGGACCGGCTGATGACGCCCACCCTGTCTTTCCTCGCGCGCAGCCGGAGCGCTGTGACACTGGCTGGGAATGGCAAGGAGCAGGGTGAGCCCCCAGGGTGTCACGGACACAAGGGTTCTGGCACAGGCAGGGACCCAGCATGAGGGAGCCTGGAGTCAGTGGGCAGCTGGTGTTGCTGCTGGCTCCATCTTGACCCTGGTCACTCGTCCCCCAGTGCCCGTGTGCCCCCGCTCAGCCTCCGCCAGCCCCCTCAGCCCCTGCCACAACCACCGCCT